TTTTATTTGGTAATTGTACAAGTATATAAACATTTCCACTGTTAAATAAAATAACCAAAATGTATGCGAGCGTGTAAACAGCTGAGTGTTCGCACGTGTGTGCTGAAGTGAAATTTTTCACACTGAAATAGGTGTCACATGTCAATCTTTTCACATGCTGATAGAAATATCTACCTGAAACGTATACTAATAAAGCCAAGTACTCTAATGAGGACAAGATGGATGCAAAGTACCTTGTTGTAATTGGCAAGTGGTAATTTGGTAGTTGTCAGCATTTTGCTAGCCTATAAAATAAATATCAGATTCTCATTAGAAAATTAGTTACAAAGATTACAAGACATACTATATACACAGTTCTGTCTAAGATAATATCGTTTTAATGTTTAGAAATGTACAAAATAAAAAAAAATAATCAGAATATTATCAAAAACAATAACATTGAAAATATACTACCTACCTTGGTTTTTAAAAAGTTCACAAATCTTTTGCGATATGCGGGTTGCCATTGGTCATCTAAACACACTATATAGTTTTTTATAAAGTTGTACGTCCAAAAAGTAGCCAGAAAACAACGGAAGAAGCACACTCGATCTTTTTAGTAAATTACAAAAATTTAGAGGTTAAGTTCTTTAAGTGCAAGTCTTAAGAAGTCACGTTAACAAGCATTGATCGCAATAGTATAAGTAGACTTATATTATTTGTAGCAAAGGTTCAAATATTATAAGTCGACCTATACTAAATTAATTTGTATAGAATAGTAGTTATACTATTTTATACTTAGTGTAATACTGCCTTGTTTGACCGCAAATGCCTTACTCTTATTACCAGAAGTTGGTAATGAATATTACCGGTAAGCATATGTCATTTTGATTATTTCTGACTTATACTCTTTTTCTCAAGCATCCTAGAAATATGAAAACGGTGAAATTTGTTAAAAACTTACCATTATGTAAATTAATTTGGAGTTATAACTAAATAGGAAAAGCTAAAACAAAGTGTACCTCATAATAATTTGTATTTTTATATATAATAAACTAATACATAAATTAAAATTTTATCAGCTACTTCAACAACTGCATTTCAGTTATCAGCAATGGGTAATTTGTTTATTTACAACCATATATGTAATGTTGTCATTACTAACGTCATTGAAGGTTGGGAAGTGTCACATTACACACCTCTACTTCCCGCCCTCACTTCCTGCCCTCACTTCCCGCCCTCATTTCATCTATTCTAGATGAATATTTTTTATATTTAAAAAAAAATAATACAGTGTTTGACAAATTTTATAATACCTATTTAATGGCAAACAATAAAAAACAACAATGATCTAAAATATAACAAACTACTTATTGATATTTATTATTCGCGAATTTAATATCCGGCTTTATCTGACATTTATTTATATTGGTGACAGTTGTTTACCCCGTAATCACAGTAACAATATATTTACCTACTTGATTATTCTGAGAAAACCACGCGCTTGGTAATTTGTCGTTAAATGTAATATTTTAGGTATGTTCAGAACAAAACAGAGATTTATTAACTTTGATCGCAATATGATGATTGTAAATAAAATAGTATACAAACCTCGGTAGGAAGTTTCATTCCTGTCTCGAGATCATAGCTAACCTCAACGCTTCGCGTCTCGGTGGTCTAACTAATCTCACAACAGGAATGAAACTCTTCCCAACTTGGTGTGTAATATACTATTATTTTTTTTTATTTTAACAAAATTGGTTTATTTACTTGATGGTTTTGTCTAATTAGGGATTATGCATAATATTGCCTCATCCTTTAATTTTGGTTTGTTCTTTTTAATTTTACTAATATCGTCTCATATTAATTAAAAATATCATAATCCAAAAAGTATACCTCACAATGTGATGTTATTAAGTGTTTTATCGGCCTTATAAATTGCATGAGAGTCCCGTCATCTGACTGCAAAAAGTGGCACGTCATCTTTTTTGCTTGCTATTTGTAATTTGGTACAGAGGAGGGAGGTGAACATACTCTGTGAGTTTATCCTTTCATTGTCGACTATAAGCAAGTAGGGTTAGATTGAGCCCAGAACACTGTGGCCTTATGATTCTATTGTATTCCCCTGCTTTCCCGTATTTTTTAGTTCTGCATCTTTGGTTAGTTTTACTAAGTTACCTGCCAAGTGTTTCTGGGGGCGTTCTTTCCGGTTCTTGGCCAAAAAAGGTCAAATTCCGTCTAAGAGCTTCACATTCGAAGATAACATGGTATGAAGTTTCTTCCTCTTCCATTCAGAGTCTACACGTGATGGGATCATTGTGTAATCTATCACATTAAGGTATCTAAGTAAGCAGTGTCCTGTTAGTAATCCTACCATGGTGGATATCTGAGTCCTTGCGAGATGTAATACCTCAGCAGCCAAGTCTGGGTTTGGTTCCCTTAGCATCAGCTGACTGATTATATGTCCTTTTATCTATTTCAAAGAATTTGGTGTTTTGTGGTTATTCACCTGTTCACTGCCTGTCGGGCAGAGGTTTTGATTATCCTAAATACAGGTTCGGGTCCTGTGAATGGTAGTTCTGATCCCTCTCTGGCGAGTTCATCGGCCTTTTCAATTCCTTGGATACCTTTATATCCTGGTACCCACGCTAACTTTTTAATTTATTGTGGGTTGCCAGATCATTTTGTATTCCAAGGCAGTTCCAGATCAGCTTTGACTTGAGACTGTTTGAGCGAAGGGCCTTTAAGGTTGCTTGGCTATCTGAGAGAATTGACATGGTTTGTTTTTTGTACTTCCTTCTTAAATTCTCTAGTACACAACATAGTTAAATTAATAAGTAAGATAAACCGTTTAAATGCACGGCACTGGTAACAAATGTTAGTTCCTCAGCATATTATTTGGAGCCACCATTGCACACTACACAAATGGCTGATTGGCTTGACAGTTAAAGGCAGCAGAAAAAAAGAAAATAAAGAGAAGATTGCGTACCCGCGGTTCATTCAAATGTCCATTATTATTTACATTTTTTAGCTACTACTCTAAAAAAAAATAATATTTAAATTACAAAAATATTAGTTTGTTAAAGTAATAAAACCCAAAAAAATATAAATAAAGAAATATTTATAATAAAATATTTAAAACACAGGTATAGTTTAAGCATTTAATACAAGTAAGGTGCATTTAAACGTTTATTAGATACATAACATTAAATAACAGTAATTATAAGTAAAAATTAATAGTAGTCTCCTCTTATTCTTGGAAAAATCAATCAAATTTCAATGTAGGTGTCAGGTGTTTCTATATGAATAAAAATAGTGTTATTGAACAATTTCTTTTAGACATCAAAATGATAATATTCTTATTATTATTTTTCTTATAAGTACAAGTTATTTTTAATTTGTCTAAAATTCAAATACTTTTGGAAACAGTAGGATCTTTCTCTAACTTACAAATTCTAATATTTTGTTATCCATTAATAAAATTAAGCTTTTACTCCTTAGGTGTTAAATTTTAAATTATACTTTCATTTATTTATTTCAAAACAGTTTTTCTTCGTTTTGAGGGTTGTTCAATTTGTTTATCATTATCATTAATACTAAGTTTACATTTGCAACTCATATCTTGTTTTTTGTTGTAAGCAAATCTATCTTATGCTGCTGTGTGCCTTTTCTAAAATCTGACTCTCGGGTTGGGTATATTTAGGTATAGTTAAACTGAATGTACTATTATCTAATAAAATTAGTACAGCATTTACAATTAGTCGTTTATGTTTTAGGGCAATTTTGCTAAAAGATATTCACAAAGATAACAAGTTTTATTATCTAAAGTTAAATTTGAATTCTTAAACCAGTTCTCACGAATTTTAGCATCAGAAGGAAAAAAGGTTTTATTTGAATACCCACCTTGAATAGTATAATACTTATTTAAACAATTAGAAGCTAAACAAGAATACCTTTCGACGCTTTACCCGGGCCAGACATGTTTTGTTATTGTTACAAATATATTCAAAAAGGATTGAAAATAGATTCAAAATAAAATTATATTTCGTTCAAGCTAAGAAAACAATGATAAACAAAGACCTTAAACAAATCTAACAGCTAATATTAAATTAAATTGTTAATACTTACTAATTGCATCAAATCACCACGTATGAATATTCTTAACCTAAAAATAAGCCTATGGAACTTATATCATAATCATAAACTAACCACAATATATCCCCTGAGGGGATTTATTTATGAAAAACTTTTATTTTGCTTTTATTTAATAGTAGTTTTCCTATTTCGCCTTCCGCCATTCCGTTTTTCATTTTAACGAGGTTGTCAACATAGTTGTTAAACCTCTCTTTAAAATATCCCAGTAATAGTATATCATTGTATGGATGGTAGCGAGCTTGACAAAAACCAAATAAGATGTTTGAAATAATTCTAATCTTATGAAAATTTATGGAAAATGGCAACATCGCTTTCATCTTATTGCGATGGTGGCTCCAAATAGTATGCTGAGGAGATAAACTTGTTACCAGTGCCGTACATTTAAACGTTTTATTTTACATACTAATTTATCTATGGTACACACAATTCGAGTGCATCTATGTATGTATGTAAAATACAGTAGTGTATTTTCCCAGTGAGACGATGATGTAGCATTTAGGTTTAACTCCATGTACGCCAGAGCTTGTTCCTTGGTAGTCTTAGATCTATCCGTATACCATACGAGACCGCTAAGCAAATATTTCTCTACCTCCTTATTTACCTCGTTCCATTTGTAGTTAACCAGGAAGAGTCTGTTGAAGGTTAGGCAGGGTGTCATATGATATCTTCCTATGTTTATTATAGGTTCAGATAAGATACGACTATGTGATTTAAGTTACTTCACTGCTCAAATTCGAGGAATTAATTTTAACCCTTTGATAGCAGTAAAATATGGTTGATAAATATCAAAAAATAATCTAACTAATTAACTAATGACCTAAACCCTTTTAAATTTTAACTATAAACAATATATTATTTTGTTTCAGCTGTGTATACCGATTTGAAGTTAAAAAAGATGAACGAATCAAAATAACCATCACCGACATGATCGTCAAAAACCGCCACTGCAACACAATTATCAGCAAAGATACGAACCAGCTAGAATGTTTCGGTAACACGTCCGCCACCCTCAGGTTTTACGAAATTCCCTGGAACGACGTACCCGGAGTACCAAAAGACTGTCTTTGCGATGTCGATAAAAATCGTCTCATACCGTTTACATATTTCTCCACTTCTAATGTTGTGGAATTGAGGTTCAATGTCTTTGGAATGAACGCATCCGATGATTTTAATACACTGTTTTTCGAAGGAAACTGGAAGTATATTAAGACACCAGGGTGTAAGAAGAATTTGAGATATCGAGGCGCCAATGGTGAAGTCGCTTTTAGTTATCCTACGCCTTATGATCAGGTATATATTTTAAAATTTTTAATTAGTAGATGTGATTGACAAACTAATTTTTTTATTATCTTTGGTGTCTGTTTAAGAGCTGTTAGCCTCAGAATACTTATAGATATATAAAAAAGGTCGATTTTTATTCCGAGTGGGACACATTTTTATCATTTACACAATTATCATACGTCATTATTTTTCTTACCTCAGTCTAACCAAAAATGTTAAATTTTAGACTTCGAGTACAATAATACATGCTTGAAGATTTTACATCAGTGATACGACAACCTATTTTGCTATGCTCTGTTTGTATATTTGTATGTATATTTCTGGTGTTCAGATCGTCATTCAGATTAATTCGCACAAAATATCTATTTCAGTAAGGTCGAGTTGTCTCCCGGTGGAATATTTTAGGTAAATTATTTTAGGTTTTTTTTTAACTTAACTGCTTTACTTAACCTGTGCGGCCTGGATCCTTCGCGGTTTGCCTCGCAAAAAAATAGGAAAAATTAAATAAACTTTAACTAATGTACCTAACTTTTGCGGTAAGGCGCCATTTAAATTTTACTGATTGCTGTTGCACAGATTAGGTAAATTAATTTAGTTTTTTTTATACTTTACCTAACCTGTAGTGATGCCGCGAGACAAGACGAGACGAGAGAATGGCCTCTCTCGTCTCGTCTCGTAAGACGAGAAGGCGCTTAACCCAAATTTGGCCGCAATAATCCTAGAAATGTTGAAAGAGAATTTTTTAATAAGCTTTTTTGCCAAGAAGTTATGAAAAATTTAATACGTCAAGTGGTTTTTAAATCACCTTTGATATTCTTAATTTATTTATTTTAGTAAATACAAGAAGCGTTTCCTTGGAAATAAACAATAATTGTTAATATGAGAGTTATCAAGAATGTAACTTATTAGTAAAGGCCCAGAACATGTATGTATAAGAACAAAGTACCAGCTACAAAAATTGCCATTTGTGCAGTGTTAAATCTCTCTAATAGTTAAAAATTACTTAAATTTATAGAAGATACTGACATATACTCTGTACTATCCAAAATGTTAATTACCTATCCATTGTATACTATTGTAAAAAAGAGCATTTATAAGGCATTATACCTCCGGTAATGATCCTTTGAGGTTGAAGCGGTAAATAAAAAAAAGAAATAAACTTATTTTATGGATTTATTAAATTGAGTTTCTGTAAAAACATAAAAACCTAAATCTGTTTACATGAACGTAAAAATATAGAAAATATCCTTTAAATGAGGAATCACATGACCCTACTTTCCATTAGAAAATTTAAAGATAGTAACTCCCTCTATCTTACGTGTAAAGTACATCTTGTTATAACAAAAATATAATATCTCTTGAATTTACCTCGTTTTTGTTTTGTCATTATCTTTTTTCATTTAGAAGTTAAAATAGTGGAGGGTACAATTTTAGTCCTTACTGTATATAATAAATTCGTTTGTATTACCTTTTCTTTGACACTTTTTCGAAAAAACGCTTAAAACATTTCAACTTATCTTCAAAAGTAACCTCAGAAAAGCAGAATGGGTTAAATATAAAAAATGATTGTATAAATTTTAAATAAATAAAATGAGAAATATTTTTTCTTGTAAATCACTATTTATAAAATCCTAATAACACAAGTATCATTTGTTACCATTTAATATATATAGAATAGGTGTGTTATAGTTAACTTTTTGACTATCTCGAAATCTAATATGTTAAAATTTTAAATTATGATAAGCAATTGAAAATTTCAAATAAGCAAAGACAAAATTGTTCGAGAGAGCCCGAGAGAGCTCGAGAGAAACGAGAAATTCGCGTCGAGAGATCATACTTTCTCGTCTCGTCTCGAATCTGTTTTCGAGAGAAAATGTCTCTCCCGTATCATTCGAGACGAGACGAGACGAGAGACGAGAGATGAGAATCTCTCTTCTCGCGGCATCACTACTAACCTATGCGGCATGGACCTGTCAAGGCTTGCTTCTCAAACAGATTATACAAAAATGAGAAAATACAGTTCATCAAATTTCTAGAGGCTTTCGACGGCTAGACAGAGAAAGCACTACTGACAGGCATCCCGACGGATTTACGCAATGAAAGTACACTCTGCGCATCAAGTATTTCACTATTTCATTCAGACGTAAATGTCAGATGTAAATTTCGCTAAAACATTTCTTTTATTTTCGTTTGTGTTTTTTGCTCATTACAGTTTAATAGAACCTAAGTATAGAGTTTAATAGCAAATTAAGAGGCCGCGTGATTAACAGTCAATCTCGCGAAATAATAGCCAATGTTATAGAGTTTATGAGAAGAGAAGGAAACTTTAATTCACCTTCAATACCATTTAAAAATGTAAATGATCGTGTTGCTGCAGACACAGGAGTATCTAAAAACACTGTCGTCCGCATTTCTGGAGAGAAAAAAAGAATCGATAACCGTGAGATATCGGAATTTTCATCACCAAGAAAAACCATTAAAAAACCAAAAACAGTTAATGATATAGATGAAGCTGCACAAGAATCAAATTTTATTTTTTTATTATTAGATAGCTGTTTTTGTTTCTGAGTTGTGTTCATTTACAGGCTCAATTTTTTTCCGTTTCTCCTTTTTGATTTTATATGGGGTTTCAAGTTGTTTTTGACCTATTTCGACGTAAATCACAACAACACACTTTTTTAATAAAGCAAACAAGTGTTAAGAGGTATATGTACGTGTAAACTACAATTACAAAAAATTGATATGAAACCCATGAAACCACCAACAAAAATGTAAAGCTAGCTTCCGTACTAGAACATGGTGTCATTCGTCGAGATAATTTATCGTTTTGTTTAATAGATCAAGAAATGTAAATATTCCCCTGTTATTTTTTATAAAATTATAAGAGAAATAAATTTTTTTCTAAATAGTATAGTTTATTATTTTGTAGAAAAGCAAAATTTCGAAAATTTTAGTAATGTTTCAGAAACAACCGTTATTAATAATAGGTACCATTTTCCTTAATAAGGTAGAAATAAAATGTAAACTATTTCCACGATTTACAAAGGCCTACAAAAAAATTATAAGTATTTTCCGCTATCCTATAAAATTTATATTTTCTGACTCAATTTCAAAAGGTTGAAGGAATTCCAAAACACCTTTTATGGCATAATAATTATTTTCAATTCTACATACTATCTTTAGCTGCTTTTAAAAACGTTCTAAGAAAGTCCAATCAGACCAATTTAATCCCTAAACTATTCCACACTTTTAAAATTTAATTACCTAAAAATATTAAAAACTATTTAAAATAACTTGTTTAGCAGACTGTACAATAGCTATCTTAGTCACACGTAGCGCGTTCTCTGTCTGGGCGTCGAACACCTCTAGAAATTTGATGAACTGTAAAAGAAAATTAACTAATTTGCCTAACATGTGCAGCCTGGGGCCGTCCAGGGTTGCTTTACAAAAAATAAATATACAAAAATGAGAAAAATAAAAATAACTAATTTACCTAACCCGTGCGACCAGCCATTAAATTAATTTGTTTTTAAAACTCAATCAATTTACCTAACCTGTATAGCCTCGAGCTGTCGAGAGTTGTTTTGCAAAGAAATATATACAAAAATAAAAAACTTAACCAATTTAACTAACCTGTGTAGAGCAATTTAAATTTTACTGATTGCTCTCGCACCGGTTAGGTAAATTAGTTTTTTTTTGTATATTTTTTGCGGACCAGTAAAAGACTTAACAAACGCTCACCAGGTCATATTCAACTCTTAGCTGGGTCGCTTCGGGAATATATCGATGGGTGTTTGACAAAACATCGTAAGCGACAATTTTTGCTCATTACGTTTTTTTGGATCAAACTGTCGGTTACGATAGTCTTCACCAGTGTGACATACTTTACCCCCGTTTTTGACTTTCATTATTGGTCAGTTTCAATATTTTTACTAACGTAAGCGCCTGCCGTTTTAAATTTGTTACCGATTTATAACGTAAGCGCCTATATGTTCCCGATAAATAATCGTAACCGCTGCATAGTCATGGTGTTTGCGATACGACACAGTCGCTTACGATATTTTTACTCCCACCTCGTTCTATCAAGGTGTTATTCCCGCTTTAAAAAAGTTCTAATGCAGCTCTGCGAAAAAATAGTATATTAACACAACGTGTGTTTACTATTTTCTCGATTTTGACCTTAATTTTTTAATTTTTTTTTTTTTTGGTCGCTTATACTTTTTCTCTAAATTGGCAGGCTTGAGACTACCATTTCAAATAAAAATTGCGTCCAAGATGGAAGGCTATGTCGCAACCCCCTTAGATTTACGAGCCCTTCGCATTGGCAGTTGTTAGTAATTGTCAATTGAAATGTCACATAAAAGTCACCAGAAATCGTGTAAGAATAAGCTTCATTCTTCAACGATTTTGCGTGCGAGAATATAACAATCTTCCACCAAAACGAAGCGTTATTCATGCTTTAAAAAAGCCTTATGAAGTCTAATCAACAAGTTCAAAAACGTGTTTTTGGGACATACTATTACGAAAATTATGTTCAATAGCTCATTCGATTCGGAATAATGTCTATATCAATGTGTGAAGAAAAATTTTGCAGTGCATAAAAAATTGCAAAAGTTATAAACATTTAAACACACCATGTTTTTTTCGCCTATAGTTTGTAAACTATAAATATTTTTGGATTTTTTAAAAAAGATCCTTAAAGAGGAGGAAATTTGCTATAAACAAGTTTTAACTCCCGGAACTGTACCTCCATTATTTATAATTTTAATTTAACGCTCAAAGTAGCCTACCGCGCGCCATTTTTAGGTTGCGCGCACGGCGTCGAAACCTAGTACGTTACATAAAATAATTTTTTTAAGGTAATAAAATCAAATTCAAAAATTTAAAAAAATTACGGTGTATTCTAAACACTTAGAAGAATTCATTCCCGTTGGAATTTTTCATAAAAATTAAATTTCCAACAAAGTAGGTTATTGTTAATTAACAAATTTTTTCTACACCCGTATTAT